AGTATGTTATAAACAAAATATTTAAAAACAATACAATATTGTAAAAATAATATTATAAGTATATTATAAATCAACTGTTTAGAAATAAAGTATTTTTTTCCCTAAGTAACAGCGTCTACGAAGGTTGGGACCACAGAGATAAATCAAACTCAAAAGGGGAGCCACGAGCAAAAAAAAAAAAGGTTGAGAAGCACTGGATTAGAATATAGTTAGCAAATAGGATACCAGAACCTGCAGATAATAGGAGGATCGAGGATGTCGTTGGTATCAAATGAAATAAATAAAAAAGACGAAATCACATGTGCAGTATAAAGCATAAATATTTATTATACTTATGAAACATAAAGTTGAGATGTGCACAAATCACACTAAAATCTAAAAAGGAAATAAAAGACTGAAGTCAGACAAAACCGAATAAGAAATATACACTTCAGATATCAACACTAGTTTTAAAACGACAGTGGCTACAAAAAATGGATTTAGCATCAAGATCGTAAAAAAAAATAGATATTTTTAAAAACGATCACAAATCAACCAGAAAATCTGAAGATTCATAACTCAATTAATCAGTTCAGGTGATCTGGCAGTTACGTTATCACATATACCAATCGTTTCAAGATGCCGAAAGGTGTTGCTTAGGTAATATATTGCCGTTTGGAATTTTATTCTGTTGCTATTAATTCTGTGCGTGAAAATTAAGAAATTCCTTTGTATCACTGTAGAATCATGTTCGGCACCTACAACGAGAACGCTGCTTGTGCAAGTCGCTTTTGAATATTTAAGACTTTAACTCACAATATCTGGGAAACAGTTCTTGTCTAACCGCAGTAAATTTCATTAAAGTGTGATTAATCGAAAACTCAACAGCAACAATTCATCACATAGAAATTTCCAATAATTTAATATGTTCAAACGCACACACTCGTAATGCTATTGAGTAAATGAAATATAGTTCAATCTTCAGGCTGAGCGAAGTAAACAAACTGATCTCAGAGACGTCGATGATTTAATTAATGAAGATAATAGATCAAAATAAAGTCCAGGAATGTTTACGTCATGTTTTCATGCAGATACACACCCAGAATCAGGTATAGTTTTATTTATTTGCCTTTTAACCGACTAAGTGATTGACTGTTATTTTATAAAGCACCCACAGCTGAAAGTGTAGAGCGCGTTAGACGCTATCACGGGCACGAACCATTTACCTTCCGATCCATCCTTAGCCCAGCATGCTAAAACTAGACCACGTTCGTCTCTCTCTCTCACACACACACATATATATATAGTGATTAAAAATAAGAGTCTTATCACTAAGTTCAAAACGTTGTCCTCCTCGTAAGGAAAATTAACAATACTTTCACGTTGTTCAGTAAGAATTCTTTTTCTTGGAGTTTCTGCAACCATATATTTAACACTTTTAGTTATATATATATTCAAAACGTTGTCCTCCTTGTAAAGAAAATTAACAATACTTTCACGTTGTTCAGTAAGAATTCTTTTTCTTGGAGTTTCTGCAACCATATATTTAACACTTTTAGTTATATATATATTCAAAACGTTGTCCTCCTTGTAAAGAAAATTAACAATACTTTCACGTTGTTCAGTAAGAATTCTTTTTCTTGGAGTTTCTGCAACTATATATTTAACACTTTTAGTTATATATATATATATATACATACAGAGATAATTAAAATCGCTGAGAAGGGGAAAAAAGCGTTTAAGTGTTTCATGTTTGAATGAAATAAACATTATCGGACCCAGAAAATATCAGTTATTTTACAGATGATTTTTTCATTTTACTTAAACCGTTTGTTTTGGTGAAATGAATACATATATATGAATATAAATCTCACACTGGGACACTAATTACGGTAAACGTTTTATCAGCTGACTGGGATAATTAAAAATATCCATATTTTGTTTTTGTTAAGTATTTAAGGAAATAGTGTAAGTGATCCATTAACATAACTTTTAAAGAATACACTAAAGTCCTTTCATGGCGGATCCGGCCGTGGTTTAGGCTTAGTCAAATTTCATTATTCGATTAGAGTAGCTCAAGAGATGGCCGTGGGTATTGTTGACTAGTTCTAATGTGTAAGTTCCAACTTAGAGACGATTATGTGTAGACAGCCTTTGTGTAGCGAAAATGCTAATTGTCTATTTTTGATTAACCTTAAGATCTATCATAAAATATGATATTTATAACTAACGCTAAATAGAGTTGTGGACAAGATAAGCTTACATAACTGTCTCCGTTGCTAGGCTACAGTTCAGTCTAGTAATATTGATTGTTGACCAGATAAGTTGTGCGTATTAACCTTATTATATAAAAAAGGAGACAACTTCAAGCTGTGTCAAGGTACATCCGAAGTAACGTCAATATACCCTACTCTTTACGTCAACTGCGTGGTCAAGATATATGTTATCTTTCCTTATTAAACAACAAGCCTATTGGTTACCAGGCTACGTTGGTCGGTCTTGTGGGGGAAGTATTATAGTTCCAATAACGTAGTAACTTTTATCTCAATCAGCAGTGTTTCATTCCTGGGAATGTTTTGAAAAGCAGTTAAAACTTACAGTTAAGTAACGATCAGAGTTTATCTAAATCTATAAATAAATAGCATTTGTTCAAATTTCAATATTTTGTAGAAGTTTGGTAAATGCTTGATATGTTACTATTTATATATATATAGAAAACACGTATTGTTTTCTAAAAATATCTCTTCAGAAATCAAGAAATCTCTAAGTATAGGGACCGAAAAAAAACACGAATATCTTTTTATGTATCTTAATACGAAGAAAGCAAACATTAGCCAAGCAATACAAAAATACGTGGTTAACTAAGGGTGATTTGATCCTTGAGAAGGTCACAAGATAACAGACATAGAAATACAAGAAAGACTAGACGTAGAACGTTCTCGAATAAATCAGTAAAAGTTAGAAAAATACTGACATTGGATAAACTATTAAAGTCACTGGAATAAAGGAAATATGAAAGTTAGATGAATTCGAGTAAACTGCTAAGAGTAAGAAATAAAAGATAACTGAATGTCAGACAACTTTGGATAAACTATTAAGAGTTTCAGAGATAAAGGGTAACTGAATGTACATTCAGTTATCTATGTTTTTCTGCGGCTTTTAGGAGTTTATTTGAAGCCATCTGACATTTCATTATCTTTTATTTGTGGAATTTTTAGTAGTTTACTCGAAGTTATTTAACCGTCACTTATCTTTTACTTCTGAGACTTTAATACTTTACCCGAAGTCGTCTGCCGATAACTTCGAGTAAAAACCCTCGAAATATAGGATAAATTCAAGTATACTACTAAAATCTCTAGAAATAAAGTTTAACTGAGTGTCTGATGAGACATAGTGAACTACTGAAAGCCTCAAAAATCAATAACTGAATGTCAGAGGATTAGCGTACAAATTGCTTATCTAAAAATTTTAGTTGGTTAACTTATATAGTTCATGACGTTTGTTTCAATGATTTCATTATTCTACAACAGTTTAATAAATTAGCCTTTTTTATATATAGTAAGAAAACAAACACTGCTTTAAACACTCCGTTGTTATTGTTTGGAATCCTTTTTAGCTGTGAGACGACAACTTTTAGGTATCAATTTTCCGTTTTTACGGTGACTGAATTTGTTTGTTTGTTTGAAGCTAAGCACAAAACTACACAATGGGATATCTGTGCTCTGCTCACCACGGGTATCGAAACCCGGTTTCTAGCGTCGTAAGTCCGCAGACATACCGCTGTGCCACTAGGGGGCCGGTGAGTGGGAGGAGTAAAAGAAAGACAAAAATATCTATTTTCGGTTTGAATTTTCACATAGTTTCGGTTAAGGTTTCATTTGAAGTTGCTAGAAAATATTCGAAATATATTTATAAAATTGCTTTAATATTTTCTGTCGTATTGCTGTATCTTAATTCTTAATGGTTGATTTCTATATCTTGTCCAAACACATTTGCAATGTTTTATATTATATTACGGCAAATGTCAGATCAAAATATTACATAATTACTTCTATCTTTTATTTTGTGTTTGTAAAGACTGCCTTAGTAATTTTGAGGACAAACTAATATTGAATTGTATTTAATGTCTTAGTTACGAAACCTGAGTCATTTTACTGAACGGATTTCGTCCATTTAGTTATTTTTATGCACATAATTGTATATAACTTATATGGCTATGATCATTCAGGATAACTTAATTTGAGTTAAAGTACATTCTCGATGTATCAGCAACCATGATACAATAAGGTGTTAATTCTCATCCACTTCTTGTCATTTCCGCTCTAACAGCGATATAGAAAAGCCCATTATTTCGTGCGCTCTCGCAAAGCCGACCTCCCCACAGTAAATAGCGCAGGCTTCAATGTCTCAGCTTGTAATCTTGAACGTTCAGTACACAGTAAATAGGTTTTAAGTCGTGGGAAGTAGAGCGCTAGTAGTCACTAGTTTACTTTTTTTTTCAGTTCAACTCCACGAAGCGTTTGTTTTCCTGCATGTCACAGAATGTATGTGGAGAAAGTGCCACATCCACTCTGTTGGTACCCTTTTACTCAGCATCACGGCCTTGGTTCATGTTCCTGTAGTACCGAAACGCTTTAAAAACATCGTTGTTTGCGACACACGCATGCTACGGATAACGTGCAAGTAGCAACTAAGAAAGAGAGAACCGCCAGCTTTTATTGCTAACCTCAAAGTGTAAGTGTACAGTTTCAAACCTGAGAACAGGATAACCGTGAAGGTTTTCTTTAGACTTTGTTAATTAACTAACGATTATTTATGAGAATTCAGAACTGTTTTTAAAGCTCATGACCGAGATTAAAGCTCTTTCATTTTGAATCAACTCTTAAGGTGAGCTTTCTTCTGACTTTTTATATTACCAGTACTTAGAACTGTAGTCTCAAGCTAGCTGGTACTAGTTTATATGAACGTGAGTTTAAAATATTTATCATTATTTGGAAGATTCGTTAGTTTATTCGATAGAAATGGCTGGTAAAAGTACTGTTTCAGTAAAGACCAGTCCTCGTTCTTTAGGGAAAAATCGCTCTAATTTCATTCCTACCAATACTCTGAATACCTGTAATGAGATACAGTTGCAAACAAAAATGGGATCATCTTCTCTGTATACCCATGGTAACGCACTGCAAAGTCCAGGAGAGACATCTCTTCATAGATCTCCATCACCAGTTCCTTATATCCGGAACTGCATGCATTCAGCCCATCGAGGATCTGACCATCCAGAAAGTAGTTTGATCATTTGTAAACAAAGGTCACCTGACACCTTTAGTCGACGTTCAGAACTTTCTACAATGAACGACTCACAGAACCCAAAAATGTGGATTCAGACCAACAAATTTAACACTCGACATAGTCGTTCATATTCCTTCCGAACTATGCGGCGACCTTCTCCCCAACAATTAGCAGAGGAGGAGCAGTTCCGGCCACGGGGAGCCACGATGCCTTCGGACAGCCGAAGTTATCTCCGAGAGAAAAGACGACAGCGGTTACGGGAACGGAGTGCTAGTCCTAGTTGGTCACCCCTGGATCATGTGGATGACGTGGATGAAGATTTTTACAGGCTTCGTAACTTCAGCACGACTTCTAAAGGTGGAGTCATCAACCGAGGCGATCAGTTTCGCCAGCGGTCCCGGAGCAGTAATAGCATGGCCTCCAGTTACACCTACCCGTCGTGTATCTCCACAGATACATCCTGTTTGTTCGGCCAGGAAGATCGCTGCACCCATCTTAAGGTTCTAGTGCTGGGAGCCGTTGGAGTTGGAAAGAGCTCCATTGTCACACAGTTCATGTCATCCGAGTATATGAACACGTACGATGTATCTCAAGGTACGTATATGTACATCAGAAGTATTTATACCTTTCGTATTTTACCTTTAATAATGACTTAATTTATCTGCATAATTGTGTCTTCCTAGCAACGCAGAAAGTTTAGTTTTAGACTGTATCATTTATCAAACTATGTATAGCTATAAAAAGGAAAATGCAGTTCTATATATACATATGTTATATTTTGCCAGTTATTGTTAACATAAATTATTTAAAAAAATACAACATTCTAGGTCATGTAATTAAATAATATTTGGAACTCGGACAATTAATTTTTAAAAATTTATTTACTTAGAACAAAATGAAGCCTTAAAAGAACACTTGTGTAAAACATTAGTAGCTATACTATCAGTAAAGCCACTTCCTTTGGCTTTAACCATATGTACTTCACCTCCATAGGCAAATATTTTGAGATAAGTTTCCATAGCTTTGGTTTATGGAAAGTATTTTTTGGATAACTGAACATCCAGCTATGTAAGGTACGTCAAATAAAAACTTGAAGGTGTGCTGCTGTGATAGTCATTTTAACAATTATACTTGATTACATCTTTAAATCAGTACTTTAAGAATTTAACGTAAAGTCGCGTCTGTTACTTAAAGAACAGAGAAGTCGAGGTGAAGTCATTTGCTTGAAGAACATGTATGCAATGTGTGATCGTAACAGTTATTTAAAGAACAGAGCAGTTAATGTGTACGTGTATCAAATACCTAAAAAACCATGTGTAGTCAGTTGCTTAAGTATCAACTATTTCAATGAGTGTAGTATCAATTACTCATAGAACAAAAAAAATCAATGTTTAGTCATATTGTTTATCTGAAAAAATATAAACGTGCAGCTTTTTCAATCGCTTCCAAAAGATCTGAACATTTAACATGCAAGCTTTAAAGAAGACACTTAAATATGCACCTATAACATTTAGTATATAAACTTTTAAATAATTGCAATAGTTACATTATGAAGATACTTGAACATGTAGCTATAATAGCTATATTAAATAATTCTGAACGTGTAACTAAAATAGTTACATTGAATAGTTTTGAAGGTGTAATTAAAATAGCTACATAAAATAATTCTGAACGTGTAGCTAAAATAGTTACATTAAATAATTCTGAACTTGTAGCTCCAACAGGAATTTTTAAAAGGGTATTTCGACGTGCATCTATAGCAGCTACATATCTGATTGATACTGAAAATATAGCCATAGCCACAATACGAGCAGATTTATAAATTCTTGTAAAACTTTTTCAAACGTAACTACGAAAGCTATATCAGATGCTTTAATATTTCTGGACGTGTAGCTACAAAAGTTACTTTAGTAAGAATGTGTTAACGTGAAGCTGCAAAAGCTACTTTAGTAAGAATGTGTAAACGCGTAGTTACAAAAGTTACTTTAATAAGAATGTGTTAACGTGAAGCTACAAAAGTTACTTTAGTAAGAATGTGTAACCGCGTAGCTACAAAAGTTACTTTAGTAAGAATGTGTTAACATGAAGCTACAAAAGTTACCTTAGTAAGAATGTGTGAACGTGAACCTACATAAGTTACTTTAATAAGAATGTGTGAACGTGAAGCTACAAAAGTTACTTTGATAAGAATGTGTGAACGTGAAGCTACAAAAGTTACTTTAGTAAGAATGTGTGAACGTGAAGCTACAAAAGTTACTTTAATAAGAATGTGTGAACGTGAAGCTACAAAAGTTACTTTAATAAGAATGTGTGAACGTGTAGCTACAAAAGTTACTTTAGTAAGAATGTGTTAACATGAAGCTAGTAGCTTCACGTTCACACATTCTTATTAAAGTAACTTTTGTAGCTTCACGTTCACACATTCTTATTAAAGTAACTTTTGTAGCTTCACGTTCACACATTCTTATTAAAGTAACTTTTGGTTAACACATTCTTATTAAAGTAACTTTTGTAGCTACGCGTTTACACATTCTTATTAAAGTAACTTTTGGTGTATTTTGTCAGTAAAATAAACAATGATACTTAAATCTACGAACATACCAATGGTTTTGAAACGCTGAAAAACGTCTCCTTACATATACAGTTATATAGCTGATAAAGGTTATTTAAAAATGTGGTTGTAGAATTTGATTTAATAAGAATACATCACAGTACTCTGACAGGAGTAAGTTTTAAAAGTCATTCAAATTATTTTAACCAAACTCTTAAACAAGAAATTATAGTTCCTTTAAAAAATTCACTTGAATTTAGAATAATATATGCATCTTTATGAAAGAAACTTGAGCTTATTTCAGTCACTTTAATACTTGTTATAACAGCCACTCACAACAGTACTCTAGCATACAGTTGAAGCAGCCACTCACAACAGTACTTTAATATTCATCTGTAACTGTCACTTTAATAATGATAATTTTCCATACAGTTGTAACAGTCTTTCACAATAGTACTTTAGCATACAGTTGAAGCAGCCACTCACAAGAGTACTTTAATATTCATCTGTAACAGTCACTTTAATAATGGTAATTTTCCATACAGTTGTAACAGTCTTTCACAACAGTACTTTAGCATACAGTTGAAGCAGCCACTCACAAGAGTAGTTTAATATTCATCTGTAACAGTCACTTTAACAATGGTAATTTTCCATACAGTTGTAACAGTCTTTCACAACAGTACTTTAGCATACGGTTAAAGCAGCCATTAACAACAGTGTTTTAACATACAGTTGTACCAGCCACTAACAACAGTGCTTTAATATATAGCTGTAACAGTCGCTTTAATAATGGTAATTTTCCATACAGTTGTAACAGTCTTTCACAACAGTACTCTAGCATACAGTTGAAGCAGCCACTCACAAGAGTGCTTTAACATTTATATGTAACTGTCACTTTAATAATGATAATTTTCCATACAGTTGTATTAATTGTACTGGTTTTTAGTGAAAGTAACCACAAAATGAGCTAACGTGCTATAAAAGTATCAACTAAACTAGGGCCTGACCCGTTATTTTCTAATATTTTTTTATTGTCGTTGGTTTTTAGCGCAAAGCTACGTATTATGGTATTTGCGCCCTTTACACCGCCGAGAATCGAATCACAGATTTTAGCATTTTAAGTCCGAAGATTTACCACTGTTCACTGAGGTAGATTACTAATCTCTGGCTTTTACGAAGTTTGTTTGTATGTTGAAACTAAATTACAGTTTTAAGATAGATGCCTGACATAATCTGGTGATTAGTACGCTCGAATCGCAACTTGCGAAACGCAGTTTCGAATTTCATTATCGAACATTATCTTCCTTTCAGCTGTTTGTCAATCCCATTTTTCATGGGTAAAATAGTAGCCCATGAGTTGGCAGTGGGTGGTTTTGACTGGCTACCTTCCCTCTAGTCTATCGCATATAAGCTTTGGGTGAAATTGAATAAAACAAACAAAGAGTTCAATGTAATTTACATAATAAGCTCCAAAATTCATCTGTCTGACAAAAAAAAGAGATTTGAATATTGAGGTGACCCGAGATCACGGACTGACAAAGAGCAAAGAGTAGGGTGTGTAAGTGGTGGAGTCGGGTATTGTGAAGTGTGAGAAACTGAAAGTTGAAAAAAATACGAACAAGATATTTTCGTGATTTTCATTTCAAGTGTTTTTGTTTAATAGGGTCTTAAGGTGACAAAACAAGTCCAGGCATGAGACAAGTTATATGCTGAATTTTTACTTTTGGCCATTGCCAATGAAAGATGTCTATGCATCCTGTGGATATAAAGACATTTTTTCTGTTGTTGTTCTTCTTCTGCATTCACTAACAAAATTTTTAGAGAGTATCAAATTAGCCAGAAGCCTGGAATAAAATCCGAAGGAAATCACAAGCTCACGACTGTCAGTCAACTCTGTTAAATATTTTCAAATGTGGAATCGAGAGACAAGTAACTCCCTCTGTCACGATTTCATTTGAATCTCAATATTTTTCTTGGTAAACTACACAAATATTTATATAAGATTTTTGAATTCAGATACTTTGTATATAGACTACAGTCCAAAAAACTAAAATTAGGGAGGCGTTGCTAACACATTGCTGACACATAATCCGAAGATTATGTTTGAAAGTACTCTTAAAGAATACTTACAAAAAGTCATTTTTTCATTTTTATTATTAAAACTGAAGACTTGCTACTAAACAAAATTTAGAACTGTTTAAGCTTTTAGTATAATACTATATTTTTCTTTGACATATAACGTTGCATATAAAATTACATGGATATATTACAAATGAAGTGTTTAAGTAGATTAATTTTATATTTTATTCATAGATTAGGGGACACATTTATATTTTATTCATAGATCAGGAAACGCGTTATTGCAAACCAACTTTAATTTAGGTCATCTGAAACAAGATGTTTACTTTCCTAGGTATCTTAACGATATCTTAAAAACTATACTTATTTTTCGTGTTAGAGATTTCAGGATAGAAACAAATGCTTTGTCCACTCCTAAACTTCAAGCATATGCTGTTCACAGAGACTTACAATTTAGTCACGTCTTTTGTTTTAAAATAAATTTTACTAAATAAACTTTCAATTTAAAGTAAACAAAAATATTTAATGTGGTTTGGGGAAAATGTTTTCTTCCCGCTTTCAGGTAAGACGAAAAATAAGCTATAGAATACCAGAAACACATTAAGAATATACAGCAATACAACATTACACGTGAAGAAAATACAGCAGTACAATACTAAACATACATGAACAAAATGCAGCAACACAACACTACATATACATGAAGAAAATACTATACAAACATGAAGAAAATACAGTAACGCGATAAAAGCGGCTTTCTGCTAAAATAATTCAATCTAATTCTTTAAGGCTTCACAACTGTTCTATTACTAGAATATTCCAGAACGTGACGTTTCTGTGATATTTATTATGACAGGCACGTACAGTTTAGTATTGGGTATAATCTGACCACAAAACTCTGAAAAGGGTTGGATATTCTCGGAAAGTACGTATAATTAAAACAAATTTACTAATGATTATAACCCATTCAGTAGCATAGCTTATTCAAAATGCATTAGGATACACACTCAGAACTCTACAGCACAAACATACGTCATGGGCTTATTACAGACTCCTTTCTATGGTTTTTACTGATTTGCTCGACTGTACGTTTGCAGATTTTATCGATTTATCTTACTTTGACTACGTTGATTTTATCAGTTTTCTTATAACTTAGTTTTACAAATTTCTACTTTAGTCTTTGAGTTTGATTTAGCTTCCTATCTTTGCTGTATCTAATCAGATTTTAGGGTTATATTTATCAAGCTTTTCTGTAAACTTCTTGACCATATCTTAATGGATTTCATTTTGTTGCTTGATTACTTTTTTTTTATTGTGACTTTATGAATTTTACAGTTTTTCTTAGCTTTGCCTAAGGAAACGATTTTTCTGTCTTTTTGAAATTTGTACCTTATGTTTTTATTGTGCAATTATATAATGTTTTCTCCATTTTTTACGTTGTGGCTTTCGTAAAATCATATAATATTTCACCACTATATAAATCTTGCAGTATGTAAATTGTGGTTTTTCTAATAGCATCTGTACATACTAAGGCTGGTTTTCCCATGCCGTGCAACACTCAATGGCAGATACCTTTTTTGTTCATTAAGTCTGTACACAAGACTGGATATCTGTGTCTGCTTCTGTACTCACTAAAACTACGTATGTTTTCAGTACATATACTATAAAGATTGTATTGTAATATGCGGTTCTCTCTAAATATGAATTACCTTCAAATATCCTAATAAACACATAACACGTCTTAATACCTTTCCACGTGCTAATCTTATGGAGTTCGCTATGCTACATTCAGTTAGTTAATGTGGAAGAGATTTCCTCCCCGTTTTCACAAAATTAGTGCTCGTGTAATATTTTAGTAAAATAGTATAATAATTTTGGTCATATTAGGACAATATCTGACTTTCTGCTTAGTTCACTCAAGCTTGTTGAAATTTTGTACTTCTACATTTTTTAGAATCGAATTTCAGAGTTATATGTTTATTAGCACGTCGGGTTGTCAGAAGTACATAAACGTTATCGTTTTTCTAGTTTTACGTGTCCATTATTTCACATTATTTTAGAATCTCTTTGCTAGAGCCTGGTAATTCATGCAACATACTTTGTAATCAGAAAGTACTTAGAAGGTGACAAGACTATTTCAAGAACACTTTTTATCCAAGAAGTAATTATCTATAAGAAGAGATATGTTATACTAACACTAAACACTTTGTGATAATCACATTATTTTAGAATCTCTTTGCTAGAGCCTGGTAATTCATGCAACATACTTTGTAATCAGAAAGTACTTAGAAGGTGACAAGACTATTTCAAGAACACTTTTTATCCAAGAAGTAATTATCTATAACAAGAGATATGTTATACTAACACTAAACATTTTGTGATAATCACATTATTTTAGAATCTCTTTGCTAGAGCCTGGTAATTCATGCAACATACTTTGTAATCAGAAAGTACTTAGAAGGTGACAAGACTATTTCAAGAACACTTTTTATCCAAGAAGTAATTATCTATAACAAGAGATATGTTATACTAACACTAAACACTTTGTGATAAGTGTGCTTTTCCAATAAAATACTTCTCATTGTTTTTAAATAATGTCAAGACTTTATAAAAGTGTTTTCACTAGATTGATTTTGATATGTCTTCCAACAGACGACGAACTTGAAAAAACAATCTTCCTTCTTCTGGATGGAGAAGAGTACGAGTTGACATTGTTTGATTACCACACCCTCGCCACACTCACGGTAATGTATTATTATATCCGTCGAGTTATTGCGATTGAGCGAACTCACGCATGTGGTCTAGACGGCAGACATGCATACGTCTACAAATCATACTTCTCTGTCTTTTTTATTCATAAATGTCTTATTTGCGAGTGTTTTAGACATATCTATAGATTATTCATTTTTGTACTTCATTAAGTATTTGAAAGGATAGTATTGGGTTACTTATAGATAATTTTAGCTGGTTAGAGTCGTTTATTGGCTAGTTGAGCAGCATAAACACAACGGAATGTTTTATGATAATAGGCCAATGATTGGTTAAACAATTCACCTCAATCTAAAGCCATGAGATTAAGAGCCAAAGAAACTTGCAATTAGAAAAGTTCAGAAGTTTTGTTGTGAAAAAATCAGTGATTTTGACATCCTAAGATTACAAAGTCGATTATAATTAACGTACGAAGTCTATTAGAAAGATTAGGATGTTAAAAAAGTACGGACATATCCAAAAGTCTTGATATTAAGTAGTCGAAAACAGTGTACAAATCAGATACTAAAATAGTTAGAAATTGTTTATCAAAACAAAACGTTTGAGACAGAATGTCAAATTTATTGCATTAATCTGATATAAAAAATTGAATCTTTTCACAGGTCCAAGTAATAAATAGCCTTTGGCAATAAAGTAAAAAGCAATGGGAATATTATGATCTGTGTTAAGCCCTTGTCACTAAAGGTCTAAACATAGTGCAATATTCTGGACTAAAGTGAAACAGAACTTATTCACTAGCCTTGGGATTGACAAGAGGGAACCCTCAATAGTCGCGACTCTAATTAGATCTCAAATAAGTTAAGAGATGGAGCTGTGAGCTAAAAGTTTGTACTTGAAAAAAAAAAAAAAAGCTACAGAGCCATCCTATGAGCCGCAATGCCGCGGCTAAAAAAAGTCAAACCTTGTTCAGATATTCACATTACTGAACATGCAAGTAAATCCCTGGCTTATACCTTATTTGATTTGCCTACCAAATCATTGCCTTGAAGAAATTAGTAAGGTTGTGCTATACTTTAGCTAAATTATTTGGTTGGTGGGCAGGGCGACTTGCCTTGCGAGTAGGATAATTCATATCCGTATTGAACTGTTCACTATCTGAATATAGGAACTCGCTACCCAAGTAAAAGGATTTTTCATGAAAATTGGGTCAATTACCATTAGTATTAAGTATTCCCTTCCCAATTCAGCAATTCACTCTCTGGATCAAATGACTCGTTATGAGAGTTAAATTACTCTAGACACTGTCTAGATTGAAACCACAAATATAAAATACAACATTTCTTATAATCTTCTAGCACAATATTATTGCACTAAGACATTTTCACGTGGTTATTGTTGAACTCATGATACAAAAACTTTTTTTTAGTTTAATGACTCAGACTACAAGCATAAAATGAAATAATGTAGGAAAATAACCATTGTTTATTCAACTTTGTGACGTTGTATACGTATTATGTCTTTGTCTCTGTATTTCAAACATGTATCTATATGCGTAATTCTATCACACTGTTTCATTAAGGCATATTGCACATGAGTGATACCGATTTCACTGTCTGGTTAAGGTATACTGCACATGAGTGATTCCGCTTTCATTGTCTGGTTAAGGTATATTGCACATGAGTGATACCGCTTTCACTGTCTGATTAAGGTATATTGCACATGAGTGGTACCGCTTTCACTGTCTGATTAAGGTATACTGCACATGAGTGATACCGCTTTCACTGTCTGATTAAGGTATGTTGCACATGAGTGGTACCGCTTTCACTGTCTGATTAAGGTATACTGCACAAGAGTGATACCGATTTCACTGTCTGATTAAGGTATACTGCACATGAGTGATACCACTTTGTCTGTGATATACTTTTGGTCTTGAAGTCCAAGAATTGTTTTGAAAAAGAAATTCAATATTTTTAGTATTCCGTTTAGATATACCATATTAAGTATTCAAAACGTGGCCAGCGGGAACAATTCTATCTGGCCAAGGTACTGAGAGCAGCAAGAATATTTGCCAATTTTTGTTCAATTTCTAAGTGGTGTTTGATAATTTATTGTCCATAAAAACTGCTCAAGTACAGCTACTCTGGTTTTATCCTAAACCTACAACATCTGGGTTTAAAGCCAACTAGGGTGATATATCATGTACAGTTGTAATGAAGTAAGATTCACTTTGAAGTATGGTGAAATAGATTATCCTTTACTTAATAAAATTCAATCTTATGTATTCCTTAGGCTTCCATCCTTCTGTACTGAAGGGAATGTCCCTTTACAATTTTTTTATAATTGCTTTAATTAAATTAAATACAAATGGAACATAAAATTTACAAATTATTTACACATATTAACTCTATGTTATGACCTAAATTCCAATAAATTTCTATATATACACAAAGCTACGTACTGTATATATATATATATATATATATATA